CATGCCCAGCTTTGTCTTCTCCATTTTTACCAATCAAAGGAGTTACCTGACTTTCCCTAGAGTGGATAAAAGGCAGAGAGAGGCTAGGGATTACATTAATTGAACTTCATTCTAATGGAAAGGAACATGAGGAGTCCGGGGAAAGCATTTCTCCCAACATCCAAAGTTTGCACTCTGTAAACTCTCTGGAGTAAGGACGTATCTTACATCAGTGCTATCCATTGGAAAACAGTCATGAGGAATTATTATTGCCTCACTTAGTGTGAGCTTGGTGGTCACGTTTTCTACCATGACCCTTCATTGTTTCAATTAATGAACCAATGAATGACCATTTGAGGAAGCAGTGTGAGTCCTGGTTGGTTTAGGAAAACCTTTCGATAGCATCAAGAAAGCATCAACTTAAAACTTTACAGAATGGATATCAGCAGCTTGGAATAAAATACTGGATGCATGGAGCACTCCTGTCGGAAACCCATGCTCATGGTGACACAGGATGACACTGTTTAGAAGACAAGGACATTGACAATTGAGTCATAGTAATTCAGAAGAGCCAGACTTTGAATACAATATAGTTTTAAGAATAGCTTAATGAATTTAGTTTTCTTGTATTTCCTTATCGAATGTGCTTGAGAGATTTATATAATAAAACATCTATTTATTTAAAAAGCCAAAGGAGCTTTTCAATAAGAGAAAAATAAACATTCTAAAACAGTGTGTAATTTAGTTGGCGGAAAGTTTTTTTCTTAATTGTACATAGAATATTAGTGTATCTTACAATCAGTGGGGTCTTAGATTTGATAAAATATAGTCAGACTTACATGAGTCTCTGTTCCAACCATTACAACATGAGGCACCTTTGTAGGACACTTCCTTCCCCTGAAAGTTTCATGTGCCATATGGTCCAAGAGACTGTCCAAGACAGACACTGGTCACTAGAGATCAAATTTTAACCTTAACTGAGTTATAGCCTTGCGCTGTTGCTTTAATTATGCCGTTTATTCTTATGGTGCTTCCATTTCACTCCACAGGGAAAATTCTAATCCATTGTTTATTCAAGTGAGAAGACTGGACTACGTCATTGAAAATAATTGTATAGGTATTGCAGGTCATTGTTTTTAAACGTTCTACTTATGACAGCATAGCACTCATCTAGATGGGCTTGGTTTATTTATTTATTAAAGTTTCAATGAGTTAAACCTCTTTTTTTTCTTTTTTCGGAAAGGGGGTCCTGATGACAACTTAATTGAAGGTGGAGGAACAAAATTTGTCTGCAAACCTGGAGCCAGAAACATTACCGTCATATTCCATCCATTACTAAGGTAAGTACTACGATGTACTTACTCAAGATCAATATTTTCATTATTTATGCTTATGTACTGAATGCCAATAGTTCAGTCAGCATTGAAACAAGTCATAAAAGAAATTTGTTCCATTTTCTAGGACCTTGCTATCAAAGTTAGTCAATAGAGTAGATAATGTCAATCCCACTAAGTAGCCACTTATTCTCAGGAGTAATAGTTCCTAATACTTTTATTAGGTTTTCTTTCTTTCACATTCCCTCATCCCTGCCCCTCTCCCTCCCTCTTCCCTTCCCTC